ATCCTAAAATATAATTAGAAGTACAATTAGCATCAAGCTACACTTGAAAATGTATGTAATTATTAATGTATTTTCTTACCCACTTTAAACCATCATCGAGTGCTTGTAATAACTTCCAATTGTAATCTATCGTTGATTTTGATTAATAAGCAGACACATGCACTCTTTGTATGTTCAATAATGCTACACTGCTAATATTGGTCATAAACATCCATTATTGCTATAAAAATACCATGAGCTGCATACAAAACACGTACAGAAAATATATCTTCATAGTCATATGTCTATTTGCTTTAATATTTCATGTGTAGAAAAAGAGTGAACGTGCTCTGACTCATAACACTCGTGCACGTGGAAGAAAACGGACAGTGCTCTACAGATCACATAATTCAGGGGACAATTAATAATAGAAATGTTATTCTGTATAAAGAACATGTGAGAATAGATCTGTTCTCAAATACCAACGATATCAAGAACTCATTATCCACTCTCTTCTCTTATCCGGGATACTCTTCTTCTGTGTTTGTTTACACTGTAACAGAGCCAGAATATATAAACTTGCACTTAAGTATGTAATTTCTGTTATTAGTACTCTTTTTAAAAGTATGCTGAGGTTAAGTATGCTAAGAAAAAGTAGAAAACTGCAGTTACGCTGTTTAAAGGGTATTTTTTGAAAATATATGTTAAAGGGGTCCTATTATGCTCTTTTATAAAATCTTGTTTTGGGGGTGTACTAGAACATGCTCTCATGCTTGGTGGTTCGAAAAACGCATTATTTTTCACCTAATTTACATTATTACAACACCTCTCTCCCCAGCCTGCCACAAACGGCTCGATTAGTTCCGGCTTTGATGAAGGTCCACCTTCTGAAAAACAAAATGTGTTGTGATTGGTTAGCTGTCCCAGTGCATTGTGATTGGCGAACAGCTTAGACGGTGTTTCAGTACTGCCACGCCCCTTGCTCCATCTTTCAACAAAAGCTTTTTGGCGAATCCGGCACTGTACTCCCTCATGTTGTGGAAGCTGTCCTCAGTAAAACGCACAGCACACAATAGCAAATTGGGGTTATAATGCTCAGGAACAGAGTTAAAAAATAAATTGCAACCACTGTTTCCTGACATCATCCGCTTTCGGAAGCCCAAACAAAGACGTTTGGGCACGGAGGCGAAAAAAATAGCGTTTCAGGCAGTCGCACACCGGACGAGAAGCACAGCGTCGCGCCACGTCTTTTAAATTCGAATACATTATTTTCTATGAGTGTAGGCACACCG